AAAGGCAAGTGTAAATATAAAGTTAAGAAGGTATGCATCTTTTGTAAATTCTTTTGACTCTTTTTTTAAGAAAAAGAAAAAACAATAAGGATTAAATCCGAATCTCTTCATTGTAGCCCAATTGCATACATTACACCGTTGAACTGTGTTAAAACTCAGCTATTTATAGACTTACTGAAAGATGCTCTAAACGAATACTCGTATAACGCTGAAATTGCAGGCTTAAGTTATAGCCTTGATACTGAACAAGAAGGACTGTTATTATCGGTTGATGGTTATAATGACAAATTACAGGTTTTGTTGGAGAAAATCGTGATTAAAATGAAAAATTTTGAAGTTGATCCCCAAAGGTTCTTATTAATCAAAGAGCAACTTCAGAGGTACTATAAAAATGCTCTATTCGATTCACCACATTATCATGCGATGTATTACCTATCATATGTGACGCAAGAAAAATTGTGGACAAACCAAGAAAAATTAGATGCATTACAGGAAATCAAATGTGAAGATATAGTAGTATTTTATCCCGAATTATTGAGCCAATTACATATTGAATCATTAATCCATGGGAATATTTTTAAAGATGATGCGATTTTAATGCTTCAGAAAGTTGAGGAAATCCTTCAACCAAAAGCTCTCCAACCGTCACAAATAGTTGGCCAAAGATCTGTTTTGATTCCATCGGGAAAAAGTTATATTCATCAACGAGATGTTTTTGATTCAAATGAAGTTAATTCCGCCATTGAATATTATATTCAAGTTGGTGATTTATTGGATAAAGAATTAAGATCTAAATTAAGTTTATTATCTAAAATTGCTTATGAACCGTGTTTTGATCAATTAAGAACAAAGGAACAACTGGGTAAGTAAAGTATTACTAGTTTTCTTTTCCCTTGATGAAATTTTTTTTTTTTTTTAATAATTTTATTTATTTTATTCCTTTAAAAACTTTAAGGATATATCGTCTCGAGCGGATTAAGAAAACGAGCGAGATCTTTGGGATTTAGGGTGATAGTACAAAGCGTAAAGGATACGATTCATTTAGAAAATAGAATTGAATCCTTCTTGATGAAATTGCGGGTATGACTTTATAATTATTATTAAATATGGTTAAAAAAATTAATTTTTTTATTGTTATCTTACATTTAAACACATTTTCATTTTTTAGAGAGACATCGAAGAGATGCCCGAACAAGAATATCAACATCAGGTTCAAGCATTGATTTCAAAAAAATTGGAGAAACCCAAAAAGTTATTTCAAGAATCTAACAGATATTGGCCTCAAATTCTTTCCGGAAATTATGATTTCGAACAAGGTGAGATAATTAATTAATTTTACTATTAATATTATTTTTTCTTTTTTAAACAAACTTTATTTTAAAATTTTTTTCTTTTCAAAAAAAAATAAAATAAAATAAATTTTTAGCTGATACGGACGCAGAAGAATTACGTAAAATTACGAAACAAGATCTCTTAGAATTTTACGATAAATACATTAATCCAACTTCACAATCTTACAAAAAGCTTTCGGTACATTTAAGATCACAAAAAACATCGTCAAAGTCGCTTAAAAGACCGATTGATGTCAATCATCTTCATAAATGTTTATCCTCACATGGTCTCATTACAATAACAATACAAGATTTACAATCTTTTGTTAATTCTCAAACAACATCGGAATTGGATGGACCCGATCTAGAAATTTTATTAAAAAATGTGCTGATCGATCAAACCAAAGCCGATGAAAATGAAATCGAGGAATTGGCGAAAAAGCTCAGTAACACCTATCTAAATTGTGACACAAGTATCGTGGAAGAAGAGGTAAAGGAGGATAAAGAAAGAAAGTTGGAAGAATTAGAATTAAAATTAAAGGAAGGAAATGAAATGATTGATAATGTCATATCATGGAAAAATCAAATGAATTTAGGTCCTACACCTAAACCAGTTGTAACATTTTAACGATTAGATAAATGTTTATATGCAACATGTAGATGCTGCGGAATTTAATATAAACTTATAAAGTAAATAAAGATGCATTTAATAACAAAACATATATGTAACTAAAATAAATACTATTTAGCGAAAATTTTTCTCTGGTAACATCATATGCTTTTACATACAGATAAACAATAATTTATCCACCGATCTTGATTCGACTCTTCGGACTTGTTGACGGGTACGAATTTTTTAAATATTCCTCCCGTCGATTTCCGAAAAATTATCCATTCATGTTTTAGTATAGTTATACTGACTGTATTTGGTGTGATGCATGTAAGAAAAAAAAAAAAGATTGCCAATAAAAAACCAATTAGTATAAATGCATGATCTGATATGGCAGCGGGGTAACAATTCGGGGTAACAATTTTCATTATCACCCCATTTTTTTTTTGTAAATTAGCTTCCACTAGGAATAAAAGTACAATGATGATGCCTAGAACTAAAATAAGATAGTCTCAATGAGCTAGTTTCATATTCATTCAGTTTTTTTTTTTTTTTTTTTAAAAAAAAAAGATATGTTGATAAATGATTGGAGGATTGATTTAAACGCGAGTATTGTCTAATAAATTATATAGTTTTTGATCCTTTTTTCATTTTCTTATTGATTTTCGCAAAATAAGGTTCTAACTTTAAATGTTGAATGGAAGTGGCCTAACCGTCTTGAGCCTAATTGATAATGAAAAAAAAGTCTGTGCACATTTTAATATTTTTCAAATTTAGAAAGATTACCCGCAGCAAAACACAAAAGGGCCAAATTGATCAATAACAAACGGTCGCATTTTAATGGAATAAAAATTTTAAATGCTATTAAAATTGTAAAAAGCGATTTTTTTTTTCGTCAGAGATCAAAGGGATGAATGGTTTTGAAACGTTCCAATATCCGAAATTGAAAAGTTTCAAACTTGGTCAAGAATTTTTAAATAATAATAAAAATAATAAAAATAATAATTAATTAACTAACTATTGATAATAATTAATAATTAATAATTAATTAATTTTTGATTAATTGACATATAATAAATAATAAATAATAATGTAGAGAATTTAAATTTTCACCTATCTTCATTCGAAGTATCGTATCTTACTAAGCGATGAATAAAAAATACGCTTGTTTGTTTGAAAAATTTACTAGATGAAACCGGTAAGGGTATTCGGGAAAAAAAGGGTTAGAAATCTATTGGAAGAAAAATTTAATAATAATAATAACATAATAACAATAACAATAATAATATGTTTAAGGAAAGTATCACCAACGATTACGTAATTGGTACCGAATTATGAAACTATGCAACTTTAAAAATTAGTACAACCAAAAAATTTACCCACCCTCAGGAAAACCATTTTATTTAAAAAAAGGTTGGAGATAATACCTTTTCCACGGTTATAAGGTTCCTTACCACGGAGCAATTATTTTTTTTTAAAAAAAAAAAAAATTATTTAACTGTATCAATTGTGAAGATGTGCTTTTGGTGCAACCATAAATAATAAATGTGCCAACGATGGAAAAAACCCTATCGTACATTAGATGTATAGAAATTTATAATTTTTTTCTCAATGGAGGAAATCGTTTGTCCGGTAATTTACCGAAAATGAATTACGGGATTTGATTCGTCCCCAATTTTTTTTTTTTTTTTTCGTTCTAGTGAACGAACCTTTTTTTTAGAAAAAAAGGAAAGAAAAAAAAGTTGTCACAAAGGATTTGCTCGTGAAATTCTGTTTAATTTGGTAAATTTAATGCAGATGACAAACAATTTAGAACAACCATCGGGATTCGTTACCGAATCAAGCAAGGAAAAAAGCCTTCGAGTACGGCTCAGAACCTTTATAGAACTAAAGCGTAGTAGACCATTCTAAAAAAAATTCATCGTCCAATAAGATGTCTTACCAAAACTTTCAACTTTCAAAGTTATCCTGTTACAAATTAATTTTAAAAATTTTTGTCGTCGTGACTGCGCCATTTTACGATGCTAGACTTTTTTTCGTTTGTATGAATTTAAAATTTTCTCATACACACAATTATGTGTGAAATTTTTTTTTTTTTTTTTTTTTTTTTACTTCGTACCTTATTGCCTTTTTACCCTTTGTGCATTTTCATTTACTTATTTATTTACTTATTTATTTTAAAATAATAAATTTAAAATAAAAAAAAAAAAATTTTTTTTTTAGAAACATGGGGTAAAATAATAATGAAATTAGAAAATAGAATAATCATTTATATATGATAAACATATATCCATACATTTTGTCTAGTAACCCCAATATAGTAAACATTTATTTAAAAAAAAAAAAAATCCGCATTAATAATGAAAAAAAAAAAAAAACAAATATTTATAGTAGGAATTCTCATCTTTTTTTAAAAATTCGCGCTTTTCGAAATTTTTTCATTTTTCCTTACCTCCTCCT